CGGTGGACTGGCGCGGCTCGGCCCGGGGCCGGGGGGGGGGCGAGCCTGGGCCTTCCGAGGCCTCCACAGAACGAGCAGGCGCCCCAGCCCCGTTCGTCCGTCCGCCCGTGGCCTGCGGACTCCTGCGCGCCCTGCTCCTGGTGCGTCTCTCGTAGTGCCTCTCCACCAAATACCATGTACAGAAAGAGGCAAGAAGCCAGCTGGTTTTCTGAGAAAGCAGGAGGGGAAAAAACAAAACCAACCCCAAAACAATCTGCTGACTTCCTGCAGCTCTCCAGAGCCTGACCGCGTGGAGGCGGTCTCATGCGCCGGGAAAGGTGAAGCCGTGCTGCTGAGGAGGGATTGTACCTCTCAGGGGTGCGGACTCGATCATCTGAGCACGCAAAAAAGGAGCAGAAGACCCTCGCTGATGGTCCAACAATAGTACACAACACTTAAAGAGCTCTTTTTATCCCTGTGTTTTCAAGTGCACTTAAGAAACAGGTAAAATTCAGATGAAGGTACAGCATCTTCAACAACGTGATGTGACAGGTCAGCCACAAAGCAGGGCACAAGGCATCAGGCCACTAAGCTGCTGGTTCCCTGGCAATGTTAACACTTCAGTAGGGATGACTAAAACAAAGGTTACCTTGTCTAGTCAGAGCTTTTCAAGCTAAGGCTTTGTGAGAGCCGAAACCAAATCTTGTCTGAAACCCTTTTTATCAAACGCAGAGAAACTCCATCCTGCTCTGATATGCTGTCAGTAAAAACAAGACTAACTCAAGCTTTTATTGCTCTAAATCATTACCACTACAATTGGTAGATTAGAATAACTGTGACACATTTCAATCCAAATAGCAGATAAGCAGTGCAAAGCAATAGAAAGAAGAGTTAGAGCAGAATAATTGTACGGAAAAATCTGATCTTTCAGCTTTTTAACAATACTGGAGCTGTACTGAGAAGCTTCAGGTCTGTATTCTAAGAATAGCTTCAAATTGGAGATGTATTTGTGAGAAAACTCTAAAAAATACAAAAGTCTCTGCGCTGCTACAGCCCTTTTCACTAGGAGATCTCAGCAAGTAATTGCTACTGTCATCCCATACGCCGTGTAATTTGCCCAGTGTCACCAAGGGGTCAGTGCCAAAACTGGGATTTTAATTTAGAACTTTTAACTCTCAGCCAGCCCCAGCTTTGGTCCCTGTGTAACAATGGTATGATAGAAAATTATCTCCACAGGGCCGATTGCACCTTTGGAAATTTCCAGTGTGGGTTCCCTTTTGTGCTGAAGTGGTGTTCAGCTGTCCAGCGAGCAGCATGAGATCACCTAGCGAGCAGCATGACATCGCCTCTTACCAGAACCCTCCTGGGTTCTGTGTGATCCAGGGGGGAAAAAAAAAAAAAAAAAGGACAGGCTTGCGGGGACACTCAGTCCCCCTGGAAAGTCTCCAGAAAATTAAATACCAATCCAAGCCGTTCTATATTTCTGGGAAGTCCTCTGGGGCTCCTGTGATACCTCCATCCAGAGTGACTTCTGGGGGCAGAGACAACCTCCTCGCTGCTGCCAGTACGCCCTCCCCCCGCCAACCACTGGATGACTCCTGAGCTTGCAGCAGCCCCATTGTCTCTATGGCAATCCTATGAACAGATCATAAAGGCATTTCTTCCCTTGACAGCCCCTCCGGCAGCTTTTCCACTGGGAAGGGATGATCTAAGCCCATGTGGTTCAGGGGTCATTATTTTTACCCTGATAATCAGCAAATGTAGTGCACGTCCCAAGTGAAAACAGAGTTTTGCTCAACCACCGATGTTGAGAAGTTGCTTAATGGTCTGACCTTTCCGTACAAAGTGTATCTGCGTTGTCCAAATGCAGGCTTCTCCTTTAAGTAGCTTACAAACTAGCCTTGTGTAAATGCCTTTTGCTTATTTAAGTGCCAGCTCTGCCCTCATCACTGAGGGAGGAGGGGAGAAAGCTGAAATATGAGGTCATGTTCTAGTCACATGACTGCTGCAGCATCTGTCAACTGTGATACAATTACTAAGCCCTAACTGTGCATTTATGACATTCAAACCTGCTCAAAAAAGCCTCCCCTCCTTTGGTGCCTTAGCTGTTTCTGTACTTAGGGATCATCTTAAAAGTTTTCTAAGCAAACTAGTACTATGAATATGAGTACATATGTTTTGGCAGTCGTTTATTATACTGAATAGTGCAATATACCATGAAAATCACATTCTGAGACTTCAGTTAATTAAATCCTTTCCCTGTAAAAAGCTCCAGGGCAGTCTCTTGGGTGGGATTGTTTGGAGTGGGAAGTTTAACCTTTACGTTTCAGCAGAACTCTGAGCCTGCTAATCTTAGCAGAAGTGAACACAGTCTCCTTCCTGGAGAAGCTGGGATTTGAAACTTGAAGTACAAGCTATTTGAATGCATGATTGTCACCTCTGCTGCGACATGGCTGCATAGGATGTGCAATCACTGGAAAAAAATACTGGTAGTATTTTTTATTTGATGACTATTTTATGACTGCAAAAGGATAGCCAGCTCTGTTGCAAATTATGTCAGCAAGGGCAGCTGTATACCAGTGTTTTCTATTGCTCTGTAGCCTGCTTTCTGCATCAGACTCCAAATAATTCCAAGCACAAATGGTGGACAGATTTCCATTCTTTGTGAGTTTCAATTTAAAACTCACATGTTTATAGAAAGTAAAGGAGTTTTGGTTTTTTTTTTTTTTTTGCTTTGTGAGCCACGGCAGAGAAGAACGAGTACTGGCTGTTTAGCAGGTAAAACCCCAATATCCAGCAATATCCTATTGGATGCAAGTGGTAAATTCACCAGAACTGTACAAATCCTTATAGGTGGCACCTGTATTACATCCATCTATCTATCTAAAATCTATTAGCCAAAGGAGGAAAGTTAGGCAAAATACAAGAACATTCATTCTGTACTCAAGTCCAGCTAGCTCGATATCATATCATCAACAGGGGCCAAGAGCGGGTACTTAGGGAAAGTTTCTCTCTGCAGAGTGATTCTTCCCCTAGAACATTATGGCAGCTTTTGGCAGATAACATTTAGCAGTTTCCTGGTCAGAAGTTGCGTTTGGATCATCATATTTGATACAATACAATTTGCTAGCAAAAACCTTAGGACTAATACAGCTCTGGTACAAGTATTAATAATAGCAAGAATTAGAACACCCTTTCCACAGCCAAAGTTGAATCAGATAAACCCTCACCCAGTGCTTTACTGTTTTAATTCGAATGTGTGGTATGAATGCGGTATTTGCAACCCTCAATGGGCAGAAAGTGTATCATATCCCTCGGCAGAAAATGGAATTACATGTCTGCAAAAAACAGGGAGGGTCTCTAGGTATCCTATTTATGGCACATACAATGTAACATGCAGACTGAAGTCCCCTACGCAATATCTAATGAATTGAGAAGTGAAGTCAGGCCCACCTTCTCGCTTTGGGCTTTAAGTGCAATTCAGGCTGCAGGCTGCAAGTTCTGTTTGCACTATCAGTTCAGTGGGTGCCCTGCTGTCCTCTGGTCTTCTCTTGGCTGCTTATGGCTTCTGTTTCATTCTGCATCTCTGTGAGGCATCTAGATTTATTCAGGTTGAAATATCCTTGAGGAAGGCAACATCTTCCTATAGCCTGTAGTACAATAGAGCCTCCAACTGTAGCAAGTTGCACTTGCAGGAACTGTTGTGTTACTATGAATGTATTTGTTTTTATAAGCCTTCTTTTGCATTTGATAAATAAGCTGTGCAATGAGAGAGAATTCCAGATGCAAGAAATTCTCTAAGAGCTTCTTTAAAAGAAAAAGCATTTGATACTTGAAAGAGCATAGTAACAAGTTGGCACTGCATCTGAGCCTTTTATAACAGCTTAATTCACACCGTCTCTCCAAATGTAAATTATTCCAGACTGGGAAATGTTGGAAATCTGAAGCAATTTATGTAATTTGGTACTAGTCTAGGGTAGGGAAGAATAAAAGGAAACATCCTGCTCAAACCCTTGCGTGAGCTTAAGCCAATTTTTTCCAAGCCTTCTAGTCTAGCAACTAGCAGTGTTGCTAAACCCAAACATTCAGAAACTGTGAGTCAGACCCCAAAATTCCCTCATCGGACCTGCTGAAAAATCTCAGTTCCTTTTATTTGCGTTTTCTAGTGTTTGAAACTTTAAGGTTCAGATTTCTACCTTTTCTTCATAATGAGAAGGGCAAAAATTGTAATGAAACCAAAGTGAGGTAGGACTTTCATGAAGTTATGACCACAGAGCAAGGATTTTTAGGAAAAATAAACCTCATTAGGTTCCTAATAAAAGCAATATGGTAGAAAAATCTGGTTCTTGCTAAAAAGAGCTTGCAATCCGTCAATCTGTGTATAGGAGAAAACACACATACAGACTGAGTCAGGTTTGGAAATGCTGTGTTCAGTTTTCGCTAATATTCTCTAATGTGGTTGCAATTTTTTGAGAAAAAAATCCTCTGTAATGATGGCTCTTAAAAAAATGTCAGCTTCCCATTAAAATGTTCCTAGGCATACCCTAGCAGAGCCAAAGGCTGGCATCCCGCAGTTCGCCATACAGGTGGCAGGGTACTTACATAAAAGCTGTCATTAGCATAAGCACTCCTCTGCTTCTGCTGTTGCTTTTTGCACTTGACTCTTTTCCCTTCTCTTTTGAAAGTATGGCTGGATCAGGCTCCTAACCTGGGAATCAGCTGGGGAATCCGTACAGGCTTGTATAGCTGATGCAAATGAGATTGAAGGCGTTTTGCTACTTTAGATTACCACTTAAGAAAGGCTCAGTGTAGCAAACAGCAGTGATTCACTGTAGCTACAAAAGAAGAGAAGTAAATTAATAATAACAAAGCTCTGCAATCCTTGTAGTAATGAAACACCACTGCATGTAAACACACAAAACTGACTTCCACATAACTATGCTACATAGCCTAAGTTGTCCATCATTTTGGAGTAGTCTGGAAGGTCATTCAGAATTGTGTAACGTCGCCATCTTAAGGGGAAGGTCTCTATTTCACTCTTCTTTGGTGTCATTGCTGTATGGACTGTTACTTCTGCAAATACTTCTGTTCCTAAATTTCTGTCTGGTTCTTTGGGTTTCTCGTGGTCAAGAAGATACTAAAGATCCACACACAGGAAGCAGCAACTTCTTTATCTTTTCCAGCCCAAGAACAACACGTATAGTGCAGTTCCCCTGTCTGAAAACCTTACGCAGAATTTTCTACTGGCTTTTCTGACTGCAGGAAGCAGGACGACCAATAAGGGAACTAGAATTAGAACCAACAGACAAATCCAAAACAATAAGTCAATCTTGAGATTCAAGAGATTCACAACCTAGCATTTTTGCAATCATTCCAGAGAATGTATGGTCATTTTTATTTTTGGGAGAGGAATGGTGCACTAGTTGGAACATGTGAGAAGACTTCCACTTTGAATTGTAGAATCAGTGAATTCAAAAACAAGTCCATTTTGACTCAGAAAAAAACAGCTCTCTGAAAAATATTTTGCTTCGTTCCAATCACACTTAATCACTGGTTGCTGCAGAAATCTACCTCAGAGGGATTGTGGGAGTTGTCTGTGCCTGACATCCTTTTGTCCCTCTCTTATACTGCTCAACAGCACAAAGATCATGTAAAATTTATTTCTAAAGTGAGATCTGCTTTGTTTGGATTCCTCCACAGACCAAATTCAGACATCGCAGAAGCTGATGCCACTGGGCTGACTCATGCCACCTCTGATTTTTTGCCAAGGTCTATTACCATAAGGTAAGGTCTACCGCAATTTTATATCCTTGAGCTCCTGTTATTGCCCAGTGTTGACTCTCACTTTCTGATGATGGTTTCATGGGTGTAAGAAGCAGTGAGTTTGGTAGCAGAGCACTTTTGCATATTCATCTGCAAATGAAACAACTGGATTCATGAGTTTATGAACTGCTGAGGTATTTCAGTATTCCTAACTTGGCATGATAATATCAGTTTTCCAATGGAAACTGTTTTTTCTGGTTATTTTTTAAATTTTTGTTTTAAATGCTTGAACTGATCTTTAAAAATCTTTTTATTTGCCTACAGCACCACAGCGTTTTCCAGGCATGCTGGGAAGAAGTTTATCAGGTTAAGAGGGTTACAACCACCATTAAGAGACCAGCTATGGTATATAGTTTACCTCACAAGGTGGGACAGGGAGAGAGGCGCTCTCACAGGCACCACTGATCCTTCACCCCTACTATCCATCCTATTTTGGAGAAGTAGGACTAAAAAATTAAGTGATGAGTTCATGCCTCGGTTTTGACAGACCTAGAACTAAAGTGTTAGATTATCTCTAGTTCTAGGTCAAGCCTTCAGCTTCACTTTGTCTTTCATCCACACACAGTTGGGATCATAGTTTTTAAAAATGGTCATGTACTGCTCAAAGATCCCACTTAGGTACTTCTGAAAATCTGGCTGTAAAATGAGACAGTGAGATCTTCTGAGTGTTTTGGGAGTATTAACCTCCTTGTTCTAAGGACATAAATAGAAGCTGGGCTCTGTTGTAAACTGCTGCTAGGTTTGAGGCTTCAGACAGTTATACATGCATTTTCAGAAGCTAGTTACTGTCTCTCTATATATCTGCTAAAGAAGTCTGCTTTTCCTTAGCTCAGTGTTTTCTGACTGCCGTTTAAAACAGAATCCATAAGAGCACTAAAGATGACACCAAAATGGTGGTGAATCCCACCCAGTTTAAAAGAACCAATCAGCAGG